CTTTCAAGCGAGTTTTTTGGTATAATTCGTTTATGGATAAAACAAAAGGAAGAAATTTTTGATAACATTCAATACGTTTGAGCAGAATCAGCTACTACTTTTCAGTCAACTAACCATGGAAAAAAGAGGATACAACAAGCAGCAGCAACCTAAGCTTCAATCCAGACTAGTTGGGGCATAAAAGAAGATACCTCAAATTAAATATTTTCAAAATTTTAATTTCCACAGTTTGTAGCCTCCCTTATTTTACTAACATTAAAGCCTGGGTTTTCTAATATGTATGAATCTAAATGCTTCTCTTTATGGTGAATACAGATGGTTGCCACCCTCCACTTGTTATGAGATTGGGCGAGAGAGACGGCTTTGAATTGAATGGATTTCCTGATGAAGTTGAGCACATTGGAAAGAACTTTGCATCCGTTGATGAGCCGAGACATAATGGCGAACTGGATTCTAGCTTCGATGAGAAAAAGAGACTAAGACTTTTGGAACGAGCCTTAGAACACGAACAAGAAGCTCGAGCTGCTCTCTGCCTTGAGCTTGAGAAGGAAAGAAATGCTGCGGCATCTGCCGCAGATGAGGCTATGGCTATGATCTTACGTCTACAAGAGGAGAAGGCGTCTATTGAAATGGATGCTCGGCAATACCAGAGATTAATTGAAGAGAAATCTGCTTATGAAGCAGAGGAGATGAACATTCTAACGGAGATCCTGGTGCGGACAGAGAGGGAGAAACACTTTTTAGAGAAGGAACTTGAAGTGTATAGGCAGATGTCTGATCTTGGAAATGAAGAATCAACAGTTGATAGTGGAATTATAGCGGATGCTCTAAGACGTCCTGATGCTTCATCTTCTCCTAATGAGGATCCAATTCTTATGCTTCATCAGATTAGTGCATCTTTTGAGGCAGAAAACAGGAATTCCGAGGAGGTAATTTCTCTTGATAATAAAAACTATACTGCTTTGGGGGGAAAGGCACCAATACAAAAACAGAATAAAGATGCCAGCTCCCAAAAGCAAGTTGGCCTAAGAGAGCATTCTTATAGCAGCCAAGAATTTCAGGAGAAAGAGATGGTGTTTATGGTTAACAACTCTGATGTAAACGAGAAGCTTCCTGATCATGCCATTTCGCTTGGAGGGGAAGTGATAAAAGAAAATCCAGATACAGAAACCTGTGAAAGAGCTTGTATTAATGTTTCTGGAAAAGACAAGTGTTTGAAGTATCATGAGACGGATGGATATCAGGGATTAAAATGTCCATGTAATTTGACCTTGGATAAAGAACCTCATGTTTATGATGTTCATGTCATTGTTGATGGATCTAACTTTTGCAACGAAGTCAATAGTGGTGAATCTACGAATAGTGCATTAGAATTTTCTGGAAAAGCTAGTGTCCCTACTGAAGCTTCTCCTGTACAGAGGATTAATGTAATTAGAGATCGTCCAAGTACTAGCACATTGTATACTCAAGTGGATCTTAAAAGCAGTGCAGACACGTCTTGTGGGCTTCCACCAGTGGGGCCACGTGGTAAACCTTTACTATGTGATTTGCGGCGAAATCCCATGTCCTCAGTAGACAATGAAAGACTGAAAATTGAAACTGAAGTGGGATGGCTTCGTGAGAGGTTAAAGATTGTGCAAGAGGGAAGAGAGAAACTTGACTTGACTGCAGAGCATAGAGAAAGAGAAAAGATGCAGTTAAAGCTTCTGGAGGATATAGTATGCCAACTTCAAGAGATTCGGCAGCTTAATGAACCTGAGAAAGCTGTACGACAGGCTTCCTTGCCCGTGCCGTCCTCTAAGGTATGGGACTAGAATGTTCAAATCTATTGTTGTTGTGATTATTAATAAGTTTATACATATTTCTTTTAATTAATATTGTCTTGTATTGTCGCGGAATTGTTATGTCTAAATTAATTATGTGATTATTAATAAGTTTATACATCTTGTGATTGTTTATCTGTGGCCTCTGCTTGACACCTTCTTGGGCCTGGCTTTGTGGTTATTTTGTGTTGACCTCTTGATTGTCCACCTATGGTCACTCCAAATTGCTTTTCTGCGTCCATTTCTTCCATATATTCTAAAAATTGACCTTGTTTGTTGTTGGTGTCTTGATGACGCGAGATAAGTACTCATTTAGTGCTGTCATCCTACAATTTAGCGCCTACAAAAGAAAAAAAGAAAGAAAGTTGATATGTTCGTCTTTGTGGAATTTGAATGGTACTTCCAAAAGTTTGGTGCTCAGGACAAATTGCTTGTTTTTTCTTTAGTTTACGTAGTACCTTGAGAGTTGTTTTTTGACCTTATCTATGCTGTTCTTTTTCAAATTTTAAGCGTAATCACCATGTTGTTCTTGCATCATCTGTTCCTTGAGCAAAGAAGTAATGGTATGAAAGTTGTGTTTCAGGGCATGTCAAAGAAAAGGCGTTCTCGAAGTGTTTCTGTAGGAATGCAACAAAGCTCTTGAGGTATGGTAAATCTACATGACGATTACTATAATTTTTCCCCTTGTGACATCACAAAACTTTGAACTGTGAATTTACCGATAAACAAAATACAGGGGTTCAAATAGTTCTGAGCTTGGAGTTCCTAATACTGAGCCTCGAATCTTCCATCACAGTTGCTCCTATCCGAGGAAGACAATCCAATTAATACCCCATATTGTTTTCTGAAGAGATGTTGTGCAGTTATTTGAGAACAAGTTTTGCTGGGCAAACGGCCTCTCTAAAGCATTGCAGCTGACGGTATTAATGTGCAACCGCTGAGGACAAACTGGGATTGATCCTCTATTGGATAATATGAAAGATTATGAGTAAGAAGGCACAGCAATTGTTATCTTTTCACGGCTGGTAACAACTTATCACTTTGCTATTTAGTGACCTCTATCCAGTGTTCAGATTTAAGGTCCCTGTTAAACCTCTGCTGTTTCCCATCTTTTGTGGATCATTAGATAGTAAAGCACTGGATATTAGCTACTTGTACAAAAAGTTTTATGTTTTCTTTCTAATAATATATTAGTGGTCATGTTGAATAAGTAGTTTACTTCATCCTTCTCAAAAAAACTTTACCTCATTCGTCTCCAAAACACAGCCATATCACAAATGGCCCAAGTTACTGCTTGAGTAGGAAAAATGAATCCTCTATATATTTATATATACATATATGTTAGATATGTACATAATGTAGTCTTGTCCCACGTTGGAATAGGAGTAGTATGTCCTTGTATAGTATAACTATAAATAAGGACCTCTTGTATTGTATTGAACACACACAATATCAATATATCATATTTTCTCCCGTGCCTTCTCACATGCTATCAGAGCTATCGTGAGAGATTTATCGCTGTGAATAAATTCCAGCAATTCCGGGAAGTGAAATCAGTCACCAGAACCCTTTTTTCCGGCGACTTTTAAAAGTTATTTTGCGTCTGCTTTGTCTCGGTTAGTGTTGTGCAAAATCCAATACTACCACAAGAGTAGTCATTGTCCGGTGATCAAACCCCAGTGAAAATTAAAGGCGGTAGTGTAGCGGTCGGAAGAAAATTTTCTGGCGAAGTTCTGACGTCGCGTGGGCCACCTTGCGGCCATTTTTTGGCGACGATTCTTCAGGACAGATTGTTCCCCTTACAATTCCGAGCCTACCCATCCAGGTTACACCAAATTCCGACCACTTTTATATTTTTCCGGCGTAACCAGTGTTTCAGAAGTGGACTTCCGGACATTTTTTGAAAAGGTTTCTTCAGAACAGTTGGGTCGTCTGGTAATTCCGATCCTACCCCTACTGTTTTTATTTCATTCCGACCACTTTGAATTTTTTCCTGCTGCTACAGTAATATTCCGAGAGCTACAGTATTTCTGGAGTGAACAGTGTTTTCCGTTGCAGAACAGTGTTCTGTTTTCCTGCTGTAAACAGTGTTTTCTCAGCGATTTCTTCAGTTTTCCCAAAAGAGTTACTAATTTTCAGTATTTAACCCTACTACTATTAATTGTAGCGACATGGGAACCGATACTTTGAATAGTCGGATGGTTTCTTTAGTGGATTATTTTGAGTTTCTTCAGTACAAAGCAGGTAAGCAAACATCTTTTGAGATAGCTTCCGTTGTTCAAACAGGTAATATCGTGACTGTGTCTCTCAATCTTCATCCTCTGAGTCTTGGATCATTGATTCAGGTGCATCGGATCATATTTCTGGTAACAAATCTCTTTTCACTACTATTTCGTATTCTCAATCTCTTCCAAGAGTCACAATGGCCAATGGGTCTCAAACCATGGCAACTGCAATAGGTCAAGCAAGCCCAATTCCTTCCTTACCTTTAGATTAAGTTCTTTATGTCCCTAATAGTCCTTTTAATCTCATAGCTATTAGTCGCGTAGCCAAATCACTTAAATGTGCCGTTTTATTTCTTGATGACTATGTTTTTGTACAGGAACGCAATACAGTGCAGATCATTGGTACCGGGCATGAATCAAATGGACTTTATTACCTTGTCCTTGCTAAATCACATGGACTCACATCTTGTCTTCCTTCAGCAACTTGTCCTATTATTTATTACATAAACGATTGGGACATCCTAGTTTGTCAAAGCTTCAGAAAATGGTACCTGGTTTATCTCATTTGTCAGCTCTAGAGTGTGAGTCTTGCCAACTCGGTAAGCATACTCGCTCTCATTTTCCTTGACGTATTGATAATCGAGCAGAGTCACTTTTTACTTTAGTCCATTCAGATGTTTGGGGTCCTAGTCGGGTCAGTTCTACCTTAGGATTCCGCTACTTTGTTAGTTTCATTGATGACTATTCTAGGTGCACCTGAATATTTTTGATAAAAAATCGATCTGAGTTGTTTTCTATTTTCCAGACCTTTCACGCTGAAATTCAAAATCAATTTGGGGTTTCTATTCGCACATTTCGTAGTGATAATGCCCGAGATTATTTGTCTTTCCCATTTCAGCAGTTTATGAAATCTCATTGGATTATTCATCAAACATCTTTTCCGTACACATCTCAACAAAATGGGGTAGCTGAAAGAAAGAATAGACATCTTATTGAAACTGCTCGTACCCTACTCATACAATCTCATGCTCCGTTGCGTTTTTTGGGGGAATGCAGTTCTTACATCTTGCTTTCTTATTAAGCGTATGCATCTTCATCTATCCAGACCAAGTTCCATTCTTTGTTATGTTTCCCCACTTACCTTTGTTCTCTCTTCCACCCCGTGTCTTTGGAAGCACTTGTTTTGTCCATAACCTTACTCCAGGAACAGATAAGTTAGCTCCCCGTGCTCTTAAGTGCGTATTTCTTGGTTTCTTGAGAACGCAAAATGGGTATCGATGTTATTCTCCTGACCTCCAGCGGTACCTTATGTCCGCTGCTGTTACCTTCTTTGAAACCCAATCATACTTCACAGGTCCAGGTAATCACTTAGATATTTCTGAGGTACTACTAGTCTCTTCTTTTGGAGATTCAGTCACTATCTCCCATCCATCTTCCTCTACATCTCCAGCTCCACCACCTATAGCTCCCGTTCCACCATCTATAGCTCCAGTTCCACCACCTATAGGTCCAATTCCTCCACATAATCCAGTTCAACCTTCTGTAGCTCCGCCACTCTTGACTTATCATCGCCGTCCACATCCAGCATCATGCCCAGGTGATTCACATCCTGTATCAGATTCTGCACCTACTGCGGACTTGTCTCCTCTTAGTCAACCAATTGCACTTCGTAAAGGTGTACGGTTTACACTTAATCCTAATCTCCACTATGTTGGTCTAAGTTATCATGTCTGTCGTCACCTCATTATGCTTTTATATCTTCTTTGTCCATTGTTTCTATTCCTAAGTCTACAGGTGAGGCACTATCTCGTCCTGGATGGCGACAGACTATGATTGACGAGATGTCTGCTTTACATGCGAGTGACACTTGGGAGCTTGTTGCTCTTCCTGCAGGTATGTCTACTGTTGGTTGTCGTTGGGTTTATGCAGTCAAAGTCGGCCCGGATGGCCAGGTTGATCGGCTTTAGGCTCGTCTTGTTGCAAAAGGATATACTTAGATTTCTGGGCTTGATTATAGTGATACTTTCTCTCCCGTGGCTAAAGTAGCATCTGTTTGTCTTTTTTTGTCCATGGCTGCTGTACGTCATTGGCCTCTTTATCAGTTAGACATTAAGAATGCTTTTCTCCACGGTGATCTTGACGAGGAAGTTTATATGGAGCAACCACCTGGTTTTGTTGCTCAAGGGGAGTTTAGTGGTTGTGTATGCAGATTGCGCAGGTCATTATATGGTTTGAAACAGTCCCCTCGAGCTTGGTTTGGTAAGTTCAACATAATTATTTAGGAGTTCGGCATGACTCGTAGTGAGGCTGTTCACTCTGTGTTTTATCAGCATTCTGCTCTGAATCTGTGTATTTATCTGGTGGTTTATGTTGATGATATTGTTATTGCTGGCAACGATCAGGATGATATTACTAATCTGAAGCAACATCTCTTTCAGCACTTCCAAACTAAGGATCTGGGCAGACTGAATTTTTTTTTAGGTATTGAGGTCGCTCAGTCTAGCTCAGGTATTGTTATTTCACAGCGGAAGTATGCCTTAGACATTCTTGAGGAGACTGGAATGATGGGTTGCTGACCTATTGACTCCCCTATGGATCCGTATGCTAAGCTTCTGCCCGGACAGGGGGAGCCTTTTAGAGACTCTGCGATATAGGAGGTTGGTTGGAAAATTGAATTACCTCACAGTGACTAGACCTGACATTTCTTTTCCGGTGAGTGTTGTAAGTCAGTTTATGGATTCTCCCTGTGATAGTCACTGGGATGCAGTTGTTCGCATTCTTCGGTATATAAAGTCAGCTCCAGGCAAAGGATTACTATTCGAGGATCGAGGCCACGAGCAGATTGTTGGGTACACAGATGCTGATTGGGCAGGATCACCTTTTGATAGACGTTCTACGTCTGGATATTGTGTTCTAGTAGGAGGTAANAGTCAGTTTATGGATTCTCCCTGTGATAGTCATTGGGATGCAGTTGTTCGTATTCTTCGGTATATAAAGTCAGTTCGAGGCAAAGGATTACTATTCGAGAATCGAGGCCACGAGCAGATTGTTGGGCGCACAAATGGTGATTGGGCATGATCACTTTCTGATAGACGATCTACATCTGGATATTGTGTTCTAGTAGGAGGTAATTTGATCTCGTAGAAGAGCAAGAAACAAAATGTAGTTGCTCGATCTAGCACCGAAGCGGAATATCGGGCCATGGCTATGGCAATGTGTGAGTTAGTTTGGGTCAAGCAGTTTCTCAAGGAGTTAAAGTTCGGAGAAATCAGCAGGATGGAACTAGTGTGTGATAACCAAGCTGCTCTTCATATTGCGTCAAATCCTGTGTTCCATGAGAGGACTAAACACATTGAGATTGACTGTCACTTTGTCAGAGAAAAAATACTTTCAGGAGATATTGTTATAAAGCTTGTAAAGTCGAATGATCAACTAGCAGATATTTTCACTAAGTCTCTTACTGGTTCTCGTATTAGTTACATGTGTAACAAGCTCGATACATATGATGTGTATGCACCGGCTTGAGGGGGAGTGTTAGATATGTACATAATGTAGTCTTGCCCACATTGGAATATGAGTGGTATGTCCTTGTATAGTATAGCTATAAATAAGAACCTCTTGTATTGTATGAGAATGTTAGATATGTACATAATGTAGTCTTGCCCACATTGGAATATGAGTAGTATATCCTTGTATAGTATAGCTATAAATAAGAACCTCTTGTATTGTATTGAACACACACAATATCAATATATCATATTTTCTCCCGTGCCTTCTCACAATATATATGATGTGTGTGTTCTATTGTTCCATATGCCTTATTCATCGTCTATACCACAGGTTCAACTATCTGTTAGCAGTGGTTAACATTATGAGACAGAGTCCACAATTTAAAAGAATCTGCTTAAAGAGTAATATACTTTTGAGGAACCACACCAGCTTGGCAGATTAGTCACTGTTAGCATGTTCCGCTTCTATTTTTGCATAGGCTAGTTGTTGCAAAATTCCTTTTGCTATTTTAAACTCCTGTGTCTTTATTAGGGTCTGCTGAATATCTTGTCCTCTCCTTTTTCTTAGTGACTCTAGAATTTGCTTGGGTTCTAAAGTTTACTGAAGAAGAACATTGATTTCTTATCCATATTTGGTTAAAAGTTTGAGCGAGGTAGCCTAAGAGCAATCTTTTAATTTGGATTTACTCATAAGTGAATGAAAATTGAACCTTGAAAAGCTGAGCTTTTTCTTCTTCCGAATAAGGATTACAAACAGGAACATACATTTTTTGTGCTCTCTAGACATGGTGAGTTTCCAAAGATTCCCTCAAGTTCATATGAATCAAGGGATCAAAAAACATTTTTAACTAGCTTTAGTACAGAAACAACGTATATGAAACCATGCATCTCTTAAGAGAGTACAAGTTTATTCAGGAAATACAGAAAAATGATATCTCCACCTCGCCTCCTCTCAGCGAAGGGAGACCTTTCCTGGAGTTCCACATTTTTTGAAACACAACAACCCAGTCTTATTTGGAAAACTAAAGTAGGAAACCATGCAACGCACACCTCTTGTCATAATCTCTACCTGTTTCAATCATCCTTCTCTTTACCTTCTTTCTTCTGATCTGAACTACTTGCGCCTGAGGACTCGGTATAAAACACCTTGTAGCTACGAAGTGGTAGCTGTTGGACGTATGACCTTATGAGATCAACATAGAGAGGGAATTGATTAAATGCAAAAAACACCACAGGTATGCATGTCACCCCGTATATTGGAAATGCTGCTTTCCTTAATTTATCCTGGAGGACAAAGAAATGCGCAGCGCAGAATGAGACCAAGATAGCAGTTATTGATGCAAAAAGCGAAGTTAATCCTAGGAGCAACTTTCTTGGCAAGTCTTTCTCGAAATCACTGTGTTGGCATCGAGATGTGAGGATAGCTAGAAAAAACACCAGGGCCGTGACAGAGAAGCAAAGAGAAACAAGTGATGAGATAGAAAATACTGAAAAAGCAGGTTGACTTTCAAGGTATGGACGGCCATAATCATCGGCTCCGCCTGGGACTGCAGAAGCTGTAGCAAATGCAACTGTAGCAATCAGTGCCGCAACGACAGAGAACGAATTTGAGGTTGTGACAAGCCACTCAGTGCCTTCTTTGAGTAACATTGCATGCGTCTCTCTGAAGATCTCTCTTGGTGTCTGACCTTTTTTATTATAACGGACATATGATTGCTTTGGCAAAGTGTGCTTCACATACTGCATTATGATGGGTAAAATTCTTTTAAGTTATCTAAGTTTAATCCTTACTGATATAAAGAAGGATGGTTGTTAGAGATCTCTTACCTTGTACCACTTCCTTTCGCCTTGCAACTGTAACGCAGTACCAGGGATGCGCCACAAGTCGTGCTTCTGAAACGATGCAGCTAAGTGTACTGCATTGTTTTCTTGTTTGTCCACATGATAAAACACACACTCTGGATACTTTTGTCCTATTAACCAGTTATAGACGGCTGTTTGCCTATGCTCTACAGCCAAAAGCAAGATATTCTTCTCATCAGAATCCGTATCTTGAATGGCTATTGGGAACTTTTTAAGGATCTCCGTCACCATCTCTACGATACCCATCTTTGATGCCACTAATAGGGGTGTCGCCTTGGTCTTCGACACCTCTGTATTTAGAACTATAGTTACTCTAGTTACTTTTAGGGAACATATAGCTTCAAAGAAAATTGATCGTAACTTGGAATATTAGAACAAAATTTACAGCATTTTGACGTGATAGATTTTGAGTTTTTTAAAATTGCAGAATCTTGATGAGACAGAACAAAAGTTTTCAGTGCCACACAGGTATGACCAGACAGAGACAAGAGATTCTTTACCAGATTTGATATCATCTTTCTTTTTGTTATCTGTGCTTGAGGTTGCTGGTTGCTTGATCTGTGCAATGTTACTAGGTTCTTTTGCTTTTTCTAAATTAATATCTGTTGGAGGGGGTGCTGGAGGAGGTTTTCCAATTTGTTTATAGAGGCCTTGATCATAGAGGTCCTTATCTTCAGGCTTCTCCCCGGTATTTTCATAGAATTTGTAACTTTTTTCTTTCCCAATCATCAACTTCATAATTTTAACTGCCCATTGGTGGTGCTTCTTCTTTTCCTCTAATTTCTTTGTCCTTTGGAGTCCTGTGCAACAAGATTTGAGACCTTATGACATGATGTGGAAAGAAAAGAACATAAAAGAAAAGGCAAACTTGTTAAAGTTTCATAAAAAAAATAATTAAAATGTGATAAAGAATGGGATTGCTGAAGAATCATTTTCAAGGGTCTAGGTCTTGCACCCAAGTTTAGTGGTCAATGAAGTGGTTTAAGAATCATGAGGTCTCAGGTGCAAAAAATAATAAGTGATTTCTTTCCATCTGTCCAAGTCTTGGTAGATAGAATTACCTGGTATTTGTTGCTGGTNTATCATTGCTCTTCACCTAGAAAATGTTCACATAAATTGGAAATAAGTTAGCTCAATGCTTTGATTTCAATAAAGAATACTCTAAAACAGAATAAGCAACGAAAAGCCTTTCCCAAAAGAAAAGTTGAAGGGAATATGTTTTGAAAAATGGCATGTAAAGAATTATTGGTGTAACCATATGAAGAGGCTCAAGAAGTAACACACACATACATACACTCTTCCTGTTTTAATTAGTGTGCTACTAATCTACTAATCCATTTAATAATAGATTTTTTATTCGTCCAGTAGATGTTCATTTTAATTCTTGGTGGATTTACTCCGGCTCCTCAATTTGTTTGACAAACACCTGCTTAAGTCAACATAACCTGAAAGGTTATCACATACCTCGAGACTTCTTGTCTTGATTCACATTGGTTACTCCAGTAGTTGCTGGAATAGAAAAGAGAATCAGTCTTTGAATGTGTAAAATTCTTAGTTACAAAGTGTCAACAACGCACTCCTAATGAGATGCTCAAATCATTTGGTTAGTTCATTTTCCAAAAGAGATTGGTCTACTTCTTAATTTTGATCTAATGAGTTAACAAACTGGTAGATTCCTGCATAATCGCATGCACCTTTTCTTCTTGGTTATTTGTGTGCATATTTTGATGGATTATATTTAATNATAATGAGTTGATAAACTGGTAGGTTCCTGCATAATCACATGCTCCTTTTCTTCTTGGTTATTTGTGTGCATATTTTGATGGATTATATTTAATCATCATAGTTGGAGGTAACATTTAGTTTCAACTGCAGTATATACATGTGTATGCATTCACCTGGGGTTGGGGGATTCTCGGGATCATCTTGATTGCCTTGGTGTGAAAAAAAAGAAAAGAAAAATAAGTTGGTGTAACCAGAATAAGCAACGTAAAACCTTTCCATAAAGAAAAGTTGAAGGCAATTTGTTTTGAAAAATGGCATGTAAAGAATTATTGGTGTAACCATATGAAGAGGCTCAGGAAGTAACACACACATACATACATACACTCTTCTTGTTTTAATTAGTGTGCTACTTACACACGCTCTTTTTGTTTTAATTAGTGTGCTACTTACACGTTCTTCTTGTTTTAATTAGTGTGCTACAAATCCATTTAATAATAGACTTTTCTAATTTGTCCAATAGATGTTCATTCTAATTCTTGATGGATTTACTCCGGCTCCTCAATTTGTTTGACAAACACGGCCCAAGGCTTCCAAAATAGGGAAGACACAGAGAAATGAACATAACCTCTATTAGGACTTGCTTTAAAGTTGAATATGTCTGATCTCTTGAGTTACTTTAGAAAATAAATAAAAATTATTTTCATAAATATATTTATATCTGTCTGCCAAATGTCTAGTCTCAATTTCAAAACTTGTCAAATGTGGTCTGATGGAACTTTAAGTGATGGCTTAAGTGTGATTATGATCAAACCTTTAAGGGTGTGTACCTCACTAGTTACGGCACACATCGGTGCTCGTAAAGAGCAGCTATTAATAAAGCTTTAAGTTTTCTCATGACATAGTATAATTTACCATATCATGCTTTTGAAAATGCCACATTATATCTTTTGGATACTTGGTGTGTATATGTTTAGAGGAATTACATCTAATCATTGTAGTTGGAGGTAACATTTATTTTCGACCGTGCTACATGTACAAGTGTTTGTATTTACCTTGAATTGGAGGATTCTTGGGATCATTTTGATGGCCTTGGTGTGGAAAAATACGTTAATATTAATAAGAGTTATCCTCGTGATAAAAATCATATACCATAGATCTCTTGCCTCTTAAGTAACCAGTTTAAGTCGACATAACCTGAAAGGTTTATACGTAATCACATACCTGGAGACTTCTTGTCTTGATTCACATTGGTTACTCCAGTAGTTGCTAGAATAGAAAAGAGAATCAGTCTTTGAATGTGTAAATCTTAGTACAAAGTGTCAGCAACGCACTCCTGATGAGATGCTCAAATCATTTGGTTAGTTTATTTTCCAAAAGAGATTGGTCTACTTCTTAATTTTGATATAATGAGTTAATAAACTGGGAGATTCCTGCGTAATCCGATGCACCTTTTCTTCTTGATTAGTTGTGTACATATTTTGATGATTTATATTTAGTTATCATAGTTGGAGGTAACATTTAGTTTCAACTGCAGTGTATACATGCGTATGCATTCACCTGGGATTGGGGGATTCTTGGAATCATCTTGATTGCCTTAGCGTGAAGAAAAAAGAAAAATAAGTTAGTACTAGCAAGAGTTCTCCTCATGAAAAAATATTATATATCATAGTTTCTGGCCGCTTAAGTAACCTGGTTAAGTCCATATAACCCGAAAAGTTTATTGCATATTCACATACCTGGAGACTTCTTGTCTCGATTCACATTAGTTACTCCAGTAGATCCTGGGATAGAAAAGAGAATCAGTGTTTGTGAATGTGTAAAATTCTTAGGTACAAAGTGTCAACAACGTACTCCTGATGAGATGCTCAAAAGAGATTGATCTACTTCTTAATTTTGATATAATGAGTTAATAAACTGGAAGGTTCCTGCTTAATCAGATGCACCTTTTCTTCTTTATTATTTGTGTACATATTTTGATGATTTATATTTAGTTATCATAGAAGGGGAGCCTTGGCGTAACTAGTAAAGTTGCTGCCATGTGACCAGGAGGTCACGGGTTCGAGCCGTGGAAACAACCTCTTGCAGAAATGTAGGGTAAGGCTGTGTACAATAGACCCTTGTGGTCCGGCCCTTCCCTAGACCCAATGCATAGCGGTAGCTTAGTGCATCGGGCTGCCCTTTATATTTTGTTATCATAGTTGGAGGTACCATTTAGTTTCAAGTTTCGACTGCAGTGTATACATGCGTATGCATTCACCTGGAATTGGGGGATTCTCAGGATCATCTTGATTGCCTTGGTGCGAAGAAAAAAGAAAAATAAGTTTAGTACTAGTAAGAGTTTTCCTCATGAAAAAATATTATATATCGTAGTTTCGGCCTTATGGCCGCTTAAGTAACCTGGTTTAGTCCATACAACCTGAAAAGTTTATGACATAGTCACATACCTGGAGACTTCTTATCTCGCTTCACATTAGTTTCTTCAGTAAGAGCTGGATAGAAATGAGAATTAGTCTCTGACCATGTAAAATTCTTAGGTACAGAATGCCAGCAGGACTCTCCTGAGGCGCTCGAACCATTTGGTTAGTTCATTTTCAAAAAGAGATTGGTCAATTATTTAGCTCAACATGAATGAGTTAAGAAACTGGAATGTTTCTATGTAATCACATACCTTTAGACTTGTTTGCTTGCTTCCCGCTACATATTTCCTTAATGTAATCTAGATAGAGAAGAGAATCAGTCTTGGTAATGTAAAATTATTAGGTAGAGTAGAAAGTGCCAACAACAGTCTCTCAAGCACTTCTTTAGTGCATTTTCAAAAGGAGGTTGGTTTAGTGCTTTCCGTAAACCCCAAAAGCAAGTGAACCATTCTCGTTTTGATTTGAGTGTTTGGCATTTCCTCCCTAACAATTTTTGTACAAGTATAATGTACGATAGAGATTAAATAAGACATCGATCATGTGCGGTAAATCTACCCACCAAGAAAATTTGCGGTCCCATTCCAAAGTAGTTCCAAGAACTCCACCAGTGTTTGGTAGTTATCTGGGAGCTTCCAGTTATCTGGGAGTCTACGATATGTGTCTTCTATGCCTTCAGTTTTATATTTCTCTATCTTTAGCTCTTCGACAGTTATGCCTGGACAAAAAGAACCCCGATATGTATCGGTGTATTTAAATCCTTGTAAAGGGCTTATCTATGCCACTAATTGACCAAAAAGACTATAGAGACTTACAGTAGTAGATAATGCTATCTATGTACCGAAAATGGCTTCCACTTTTGAATACTTGAGGCATCCTAGATAGGAAGTGTAGGGGAGACATGCCCTCTGAGTTTAAACGGTTGACAAGTAGCCCATAGTGATTTATTATCTGAAAAGCCAACTCTGTTACAAGAAAATTAAGTTGTTAATATCACTATCCCACAAGAAAGAAGACATTGTATACTAACTTATGTAACAAAATGTTTGATAATTAATAAGAAAAGGGGATTTGGCTCTTACTAAAGTACTCGCCAGAGATGGCTGCGTGTAGAATGTTATCCCCATCACCCCTCCTGCAAAGTACAATTGGATCTTTTCTGCTCTTTTCATTTTGGCAACACTCATGTAGGTAGAGAAAAGCATCTAGCCTGCCGCGATAAGCAGCTACGAATAGAGGGGTTTCCCCTTTTGAATTGGTCTCCCAGATGAGTTCAGGTTCTTGTGGGTTTACCAAACACGCAATAATGGGGACACTTCCGAGTTCTGCTGCAAGGTGAAGAGGTGTGTTCCCTTTTTCATTCTTCTGTTTTAAGATACACAATCGATTTTCCTGTGGTATTTTAGCCACCATATCCTTAATACAATCAAGATGAGTTTGCTGTAAAGAGTCATCTCGATGTGGATGGTAAGAAGAGATAGCTAAGTGAAGAACAGTATCCTCAGATTTAGTGAGCTTGGATTCTTGGGCAAACTTGTCGTTGATGTACAGTCGATTAACCTCTGTCCACCTATTCTCCATGCAGGCTTGAAATAGGTGATCTTTAGTTCTTTTTTTCTCCTCTTCTCCCAACTCATCGGAAGGTTGTCCGATTCCTAGTACTGAAGTCTGTGGTTGAATTTCTTGTTTTCCTCTATTGCTCAACCCACCTGAAGGATCCATTCTCACTACTTGTTATAACTGCAGATTATGTTTGATGCCACTTACCAGTCACCAATGGCTTTAATTTATACTGCTAGGAGGGGCATATTCTTGAGAAATATTTGTTCACAAGCCTCTATACTGGTGCATGTGTAATGGCTTTCTAATACCCAAAATATTAAAGAATCTAATGTTTCTACACTCATGGTGGTGTAAAATAACTTTTATTCTATCGTATCACCTAAAGAATAGTTACTAATAGCCTGAGGCGGACTCAGGATTTGAAGGTCGTGGGTGTACTTTTTGATTCAATCAAAATCCGCTTTGTATTTAGGGTGCCCACTATTAATATATCATTATTTTCTAAAAACATATACTACATATAATATTTGCCGAACTTTACGGGTGTTGGTGACTTCTCTACCTATATGAGAAGTTGTCTCCGACAATCGTGATTCTATACTTTCTATTTACTTAATTTTATCTTCAACATTGTTAAGTATTCTATGTTGGTTGAAGATACGAGTTGTTGTCTCCGACAATCTTCGCATCATGATCTACTTGTTGGGGATGAGTTAGGTCCGATGTTCATTTTCTTTACACTTTTGTCATGCAAAACACAAGGGTAGTCTCCTATCTCTTTGAAGCAAGACCTCTAGTCATTTGTTCCCTTCTTGCTGCTATCACCAAGCGTCTCTCTTTCGCTTTTGACTTTATAGTACACTAGAATTGCTACTCCAGTAGAAATTCTTTGTCCTGCTTGAATCATAAGCCTTTCTTGCTTTTTCATCTTATTACAGATCCGGCTATTTTTTTGGAATAATAGCTTGTTACTATATACTGGTTTAACCTCACAATGATCTAATTACTATACTCGTTTGATAAATATTCTCCTTTATGATTATAGTAGTATGAGTCGAGGGTCTACCAGAAACAACTTCTATACCTCACACAAGGTAAGGGTAAGGACTGTGTACAACCCACCCTCTCCAGACCCCACTTGTGGGATCACACTGGCCTATGTTGTTGTTGTTGTTGTTGTTGTTGTTGTCTGTGTGATTACAGTGGTGTAATCTTGCACTGCTGGTGTTCGAGAAGTCACTTCTTCTTCTTCTTCTTGTTTGTAAATCCATAATGTGGCAGGGCCAAAACTGGATGTTGGACATAAAGATATGCATTTTATTTGGTATATTCTTTGCTCAAATATTATGTTATTCTCCTTTTAGTTTCTTTCTCTACATTTTCCTGTACTTTGAAGTATCGTAAATGTCGAGTTTCAACACTTTGGCTGCACTTTTTTTTAACCCTTTTTCTGCGTAAAGGGTTAAGGAGCATCCATTTTATCTGCACTTTAGCTTTTTTTAACCAAGGAGCAAAGGATCCAAATGTGTTTGAATAGAACATTTCCCGGTATTTGGGGAATGGGAAATATTTCTGGAGGAAAAACATGTATTAGAGATTGTTAATAATGTTTAGCAAATTGGATAATGTTTTTATGACACTTATGAGCAGTTTGATAATAATTATTTAAGGTTGATTAATCAGTGATAATCCGGGGTCTATTTGGAAACAACCTCTCTACCCCAGGGTAGGGGTAAGGTCTGCGTACACACTACCCTTCCCAGACCCCATTAAGTGGGATTATACTGGGTTGTAATCGGTGATAATCTGAAGTTAAGAGTTGAGATAATTGCGGAAAAAAATATTTTCCTTCCAAAAAGTCATTTACCATCTTGTGAGAAAAATTTCTTCTGGCAATTAAACAGCAAAATATTAATTTAAAGGCAGCCCGATCCATAAGGCATTCCGCGTTCACGCAGGGCCCGGAGAAAGATCGCATAGTGGCAGCTTTTACGGTTCGAACCAATGTTCTATAAGTCATACGGGAGACAATTTTATTGTTGGTTCAAGGTTTCCTTCAAACAACAAAAAATTACTGTACTTAATTTTTGGAGAAACATTTTAATACATAGTAAAAAAGAGAGATATGGAGCTCAGAACTCTCAATATTCACTTGTTTTTTTTTTTTTCCTTTAGAATGTCCATGGTTAACATCATTCTAGTATCCTCTTCTTCTTTTTTACAATTCTTGATATGAAGGGAAAGAATAAATGAAGTTGTTGAAAGCAAATGATTAGTAATATTGAAGGACCCGTAGTTAGTGGCGGATGTAGCTCTTCGGTAGTATTTTTTATGCGAGACATAAATATAAAAAGGACAGTCTGGTGCAAAAAACATCTCGGTATTCACGTAGGGTCTGAGAAAGGGCCACACCCCAAGGAATGTGATGTAGGGAACGTACCCTAATGTAAGCATTAGTGATTGTTTGTAATTCTAACCCACCACTTGCGTATGTACAAGAAGCTGTAATTCTAATGCAAAAACAATACTTCTGAATGGTCATGCAAAGACAATACATTGAAAGTTTTTGGTTATTAAAACCAAAAGTTATCGATACGGTTATTTTGCACAAAAAAAAAAGAAGAAGAAGCAGAATACGACACTTTTTAGGATGGTTTTTTAACGTTTGCTCTCAGCTTGTCCCATGGACAGAACTTTAAGGTCAAGATTTAAAGGTATTGATCATGAGCCAAGCGAGGGGTGATGTTTAGCTTAAAGTATATATATTTATATGTATATCGCCTCATGTTTTACTTTTGTTTCGTGGATTTAGGATGTAAAATATGTTGATTTATATTAATTTGAGGTGTTTTTATGTGTAGGAATGATTCGAGAGCAATTGGGGGCGAAATGTGCGAAATAAGAGCCAAAACGGACGAAAACAGGAAAATGGGACATTGTAGCGCCACAGGCAACGCCTAGCCCTACCTGTGGCGCCAAAACCAGTAGCAAAAATTTCACAGCGCCATGGAGGGCGCTTGGCAGGACTCCAGTAGCATCAAACTTGTCCAAATCGCCCGGGACACGGTTATTTCGGCCCTAGACCTATCCAACAAGTATAAAAGCAAGACTAAACTTATTTGTGAAGGGGGAAACGCCACTTTTGAGGGAGAATACACACGAGAAACATTCGGAAGCAAAGAGATCTCAGTTTTCTTCATCGTTTCTTAGTATTTTCAATTATTCAACACTTATGAAATTGTTTGCTATTATCATGAGTGACTAAAAACCCATTGTTCTGGGGTTGTGATTTAGCCATGAATATTGTAGTTTAACATTGACTTAAACTTGATTACGATTCACTAGTATATGGTTATTTCTTCAATTCTGTGATTAATTGCTTAATTGACTGGCTAGCAGTTAAGTTCTATTTACTATCTATGCTATGCTTGGGAAAGCCATGTTTAGACTAAAGAAGAATTGAAGAGAGCATGATCTTAACTCTTG